TATATCAATTGCTTGAATCCAAGCACCTTGCGTTCATTCTCATAATCGTTACACCTTTAAAATCCCCTTTAGGTCAATTGATTTTTTCCTTTTTGAACGTTTTCTTACTCAAGTTTACCTCAATGAATATTGTATGAAACGTACTGCCTAATGCAATGCATTATAATGGGAGTATAAAAACAAATGACTTGCATATGAGCTGGCTATATGCTTCAGGAATTGTGTAGATTGCACGGCGCTTGCTAAACCCTTGTTACAAAATGGCTCTGAAAGCCCATGCGAAAGAGTACGCTTTTGCTTTCGTTAGCAAAGTAGAAGACTCTGTGATGGTAAAACATGCCAACAAAACTCTTTGACTGAACACCATTGGAAACGGTTTTTCAATTTGAAAATCAGCTTTCATGAATGAAGCCTATGATGCTACCCGTATAACGGAGAACTTTCTATTAAGCTGGGGTTTACTGATATTAAAACGATATTAACATAGTTCGACTAATTATTTTTCCTTCTTTTCTTCCTAATCGCTTACCCTTGCTTTAAATTGTCTTCCTTTCATCTGTTTCTGATATGACTTAAAACACATTGTTTACTGTACCGTGATTGTCTTTTAGATTGTCATTCTGATACAAACACAATTCTAAGGTTCGTCAGCTTAACAACTTCTTACTTTCGAGCTTACGACCGGACCCATATCAACCTTTCCACTGGTCTTTCAGTAGGAGACAAATTACGTACCTTCTCCTTCATCAGTGATCATGTTACACAGCTACAAAGCAACGCCGAAGAATGCCGTATTGATATGTCGGCATTTTCAGGAGGGATGAAGTTGAACACCTAATAGCCTCGTTTCCTTCTGTGCCAGATTTGGACTTTATGACGTTTCGCTCGTAAGCTTCTTGGCCAAAATAAACATAGCTTTCTTCTTTTATACACTTCTAATTAATCGCTATGTTGGCTTTCCGTATCTCTTCAGGTTGCATGCATTTTGCCCTCAATCGACTGAGTTTTAATCCCACTATGTAGTTTCTTTGTCGATTCTAGTATATTTTACGTTTCATCAAATTTGGTGGTATTTTCTGCGATCAGCACAACGTTGTTAGCAAATCTGAGTTGACCAAGTCGCTCTTCGTTGATCTCTGTTCCTCATCTTTTCGAATCTATGCCCCGAGGGAATGCCATTTCTAGGGTGAGCGCCAAACGCTCTGCAGAAATTGTCTTCTTGCTTCTCGCCCCAATGAGCCGACATCCAGAGTAATATAATAAATAGAAAATATTCACATAAATGCTGTAATGATTTGTAAAAATGTCTAGATATTCAGGAAGTTTCCTTTCTGACAGGGCATTTAATCATGGCTGTGTTTACAGATGCTGATTAGTTTTATGATATGGTAAACATATTATGTAGTTTTTAGCAGAGATCCCCATTTCGATTCTATTTTAACGAATGCAGATTCGAATGGCCTTTCGTTCAGCCAAATGGCCATGGCAAGTCTTCCACATTCCGCTTTATTATTGTGCTACTAAAAGTGACAAAGACAAACAGACGTAGAGGACCTAATTACGGAATGCGCCGAAGTACGGGAGTAAGTGAATGTGATCGAATTTATTCTTTAAAGTTATTGATACCGGACTGAAGCGGCGTAAGCACCGTCCCCTTGCTTCTAGTGGTTGAGGGGACCATTTAAGCAGGTCATGGTTCCATGATATTTGAGCACCTGCAGCACATGGAACTTGAAAGGATTATATGTCTTAGCGGCGGTATGTATAACTGGCAGTACACCAGTTAACGCATAAGATCGGGTTTATTTTCCTGTGTGAATATAATGGGGGCATATTTGCAGGTGTCCGGGAAGGCCATTGTTTGTGCCTGCCTAATGATGCAGTTTTGCATCCATGCACTACAGGTGTTCAAATATCATGGAGCCGTGGCCTGCTCAAATGGTTCCCTAGGCGGCTTATCAAAAACATAAACGGATTATGTATCTTGGCGGTGGTATCAATAACTAACAGTATGCTAGTAAACCCATAAGATCGGGTTTTATATTTCTGTGATCGAATTTCGTTCTTTTCTTAAGGCAGCACCGGACATCACGCAGGAATCAGGATTTGACTGGACCTGTTGACCCTCGCCAAGTAGCTGATTCGACTCATACGCAATCGTTATGTTCAGTCGAAAAGCAGTTGAGTTCTGGCAACAAGTCTAGCCGCACGTATAATCAAAAACGTCTTGATTGTTATTTTGTGCAAAACACTGATGTACAATGCCATTCCTCAAGCCTGCTGTCAGCAGCAGTAGAATTGTGCTTATGGATGGTATAAATATAGATGGTTGCATCTGGTCATTCCATTTTCATGCACAATAAAAATAATTTTCATTAACGCATGAGCGTTTTGAAATACATGGAGGGTTCAGTTAAACCTATCATTCTTACCTCATCCTTAGCTGACCGTCCCGGTCGTTACACCCGTTAAAGAACCTTCACGCTCTCATACTATACCATAGCATTATATCCTGACTTTTTTTCGAACTCGGGTTTCCAAACACGCATGTAGGAAAAGTTTAATTTCCTTCATCCATTTACCTACCATTCTTAATTTAAAGGATGGTAGGTAGGCATTCGCGTCATGACAAAAAGCCAATCGACAGGCATATGCGTCCAGTGTTCGTTTATCGGATCAGTGGTCTGATAAGGTCTGGCCGGTTATATCAAATCTTGGTCTACCTCGTGGGACTCTCGGCGCGTTTGCATTTTTTGGAGAATTTCATGACGGCCATAGTCAGTCATACTAACAATGGATGTTTCCTTTGAACTTTCTGGAAGGATTGTCTTGTCGACAAGCAGTCCTAGTCACCGTAACTGAACAGGTGCCTTGTGTCAGCAGAAAGGTCAGAAAGATTAACTGTGCATGGGCCAAGCGTGGACGAGCTTTGAGCATGCGTTGTGAAACGAAGAGACAACGAAGGGGTTATCGCCAACCTCATACGTCGGTAATGGCATATTTTGGGCGTCATCTTTAATTATTGCCCGGATGAGTATTGAGTCGACTTTCGATCGAGAAATTCAATTCACTTTCAACTCACTGTATGAGCCGCGTACTTCTGGTTGCCTCATTTGGCAGTAGAGGTGTAGGTGGTACAGGTGGGTGCGAGTTAATGCCCATAATCTGAACTCAAAAGCAACTTTGGTTCTTTTACCGTATTGCCGTTGGGCATCAAATTAGCTACAGCTGTCATGTTCGCAGTTTCGTCCATAGTTTCATCTTTCTTGCTTGTTTTCTCAATACTATTATTGATATTGATATACTATTACTTAACTGACAACGATATTTAATTTCTTTAACCTGTGGTGAAAAACAAGATACTCTGGCAATCTTGTAGAAGTACTAAACTTTCACTTCATACATTCGCCCTTTACAGTCAGGCGATTCACAGCATTCTGTAAAATGGTATTGTGTAGTGCTGATTGTTCCCAGTGCGTCTTTAGTTCATTTGAAACATTAACATGAGACAGTCTTGTGCCGTTGCGACTAAAGTAACCGTGAGTAGTAGAGAATTTGCATACGGTTTCGTATTTATGACCATAGGAAAAAAAGGTTATTGACATTTCGGTATTCTTCGTTGAACGATAATGTAGGACACCTCCAGCATCTTCACATAGATTTAACAATCAGCTGTTAATTTAGTTCAATTCATGCGTGAAAATTGATGTTCATGATAGGAAAAATTGAATTCCATAGAAAATTGGGGATTCCAACACTGAGGTTACAAGTTTCCTGTATTAAAACATCGCAACTTGTTTTCTGCAGGAATTACGCAATAATCTGTTTCGCCATCTATGCTGTATATCTATTTTTGCTGAGAATAGAAACAAACCTAATAATCCATAGCATAATACTGAAATGTTGTGACTGACTGGTAAAATGAAAGAGGTGATCGTTCGATCTGGTGCTTCGACTTTAGGCTGGATGCTTTTGGAGACAAGGTAACTTTCCAACGCGAGAAATTAACTATCGTTATTTCCATTGTCTGAGCTTTAACCGATTCATTGCGACTAACATGAAAGGAAGACTACGGATGAACGTAAATAAATCATCGCAACAAAGTGAAACATTTATAGGAGTGAGGTTCATTTGCCAGTATTCATCCTCTCATTATTGCGTTGCATCGAAAATGACACCGGATGCTGTACAGACATTCCACTTGGATCGAATGAATGCGTGTTTACTGTTCGGTCCGTTCGATCTCATTTCTTCGTACAAGATCTTCCCGTCTTGTTAGAGATCTTCCTACAGGCTGCCTGCTAGCATACTTTACTTCCAGTATCCGCTTCACAGGGCGGTAATCTTTTATTCTTCGGCAATGCCCCCACCTTCTTAAGTTTCTGGTTTGCAGCCATTTAACTACTTTAGTTGGACATTTTAATCTCTCCTTTACAACAGCGTTTAAAACATGGTCTTACTACTCCCACCCCCATTGCTAATCGAAAAATTTTCATTTCCGTCGCTTTCACTTTTCTGTCTTCGGCGTTGCTGCGCGCTTCTCTGTCCAAGACATGCAACAAGATATTCAGGACGCAAACCTCCACAATGTGCAGCTTCGCGCTATTGCCAACATTGCTGTCCTTCCAGAACTGGAACCACTTCTTGCTTGCTGCTAATGCCAACGCACAGCGCCTCTTAAATTCGTTTGCCACCCATCGTTCCATAGTCAATCTACTGTTGACATTGACAAATGTTCTGGCACCCTTCCGACTTCCCGCTTGCCACTTTGGTGTCAAGGATCCAACAAGGCGATGGTTGGTCTGAATTCTACGAATAGCGGCGGTTTGCGCGATGATGACCAATCATCGTGGAGTTTCAGCTCGGCTCGACGACGAGAGGGAAAGTTTGACCTCGGCTTTGCGACCCAACTTTCGCTAACCACCGTCTCATTCGGCGATCATCTACGGTCTACGGTCACGCGGTTGCTCGCCGATTGCGCAAGCCACATTCGCTTATTTACCGACGTTAACAACCTCGGTCTGACTTCATGATCGCTTGCGAAGTTTGATGCAACGCAGCACGTGTTTCGGCAAACTGAGTTGTTGTGCGGCAGGTATCAACTTGATAGCCGACGAATGCCATCAGGCACCGAACTGCAAGACCAACGTACGAAGGTGCTGCGCGAAGCATCGGTCGTTTTCAGTGGATCGGTCACCCC